TATAGATGATGCAGTATAGAAAGGGTTACCAAAAAAAAATACAACATGAATCCCCAGATACCATACTGTGATGAAGAGTATAGCAGGCCAAACTTGGGGGTTCTGTTAAGGGCACTGTTCAGTTCACGTCTTGATCCGATGGATTCTTTGGTAAATATTGATAATAAAAAGGCTGTTAAAGGACCATGCTGTATGATGACCACCGTAATTTAAAATAACCCCTAAACAGAAGAATAATATTTATTTTTATGTAAAATGGTTGCGTTTTTCAATGGTGGTAACTAATTGTGCCATTTATTTTGTAGGTAAGCCAGGTGCACCTGGTCGACCTAGAGTACAGGAAAAGCCAGGTGGTTGTGTGCTTGTCCAATGGGATCCACCGTACCATACTGGTAATAGCACTATCACTGCTTATACGATAGAATACATGGAACAGACGTTAGGTAAGACGCTAATATTGCATTGTATTCAGCATTGCTATGCTATGTTTTGAAGTATTCTTAGCTTTAGTGCCCACTTAAATATTTTTGATTTAAAGGACTGCAATCAACACAGCGTTTAATGTTTATTATGACTCTATGCAACATACAGCACATATAAAATACATAGCTTTAATAAAAAATATTTAAACTTGCATTGAGGGACGAGTGCTATTAAATATATTAATAGTGATTTCATGTAGTTCAGTTTCAAACAACTGACATTGAGTAAATGTTTTATATGTCCAGTTAGGTTTAACACTGAACTTATGGATGCAAATATTTTGACACTTAACCTCGAAATGGCAACTTTGTTCAGGTGTGAAATCTTAGTGAATTTTAATTGTTCCCTGTAAGCTGCATCTATGTGCACCTCCACATGGAATTTCTCCCGGCCAGCATCACATCAGTCATTCATAGAACTTCTCAGTTTATCAAACTTGTAGTCAAATTTATAAACTAAATACCTGTGTGAGTTTAATATTGTCCAAATAAGTAATTTATCTTCCCAAATTACTATAACTTTGAATCTTACAGGAAAGAATCCCAGTAAATGGCAGCTAGCAGTGGTTGCGGCTGTGGATCTGCAGTTTATGATGGAGGATCTCAATGCCGGTACTTCGTATCGATTTCGAATCAGTGCACATAATGATATTGGTATCAGTCCACCAAGCGATCCCTCAGAACTGGTCACAATATCAGAAGTTGGTAAGTGATTCTGAACATAGCGTAGATTAAGACATCGAACACCACAAAAATAGTGGTAGTAATTTATAGTAAGCCCGGTCTAATGTCACATAAGAAATGATCATAAATGTACATAGCCAACAAAGCTAGAAAATGATGATGAAGGGTTTAATCATGCATGATACAGAGAATGTTAATATATTTGTTGCAATATTGAAAGGTAATTCAATTTTGTTTTTTCTTATTTCAGATGGTTCAGGCGATCATCCTATCCAGTGGCAAACAAATTTTGATTCTGTCTTTTCAGAAATGGCTGAAATAGGAAGGTGAGACAATAAAAATGTTATAATCATGATGTTACGTTTGAATGATTGCGATGTGCACATTCATCAGATTCAGGATACGCAACAGTTAGAAACAAAACTAGGGTAAAAACCCCGCAGTTGATGCCCAATTAAAACGAAAGATGATGATCATTCAGCAGACTTTTTTTATTTTACATTTGATAGCAATAAACATTCTTGCAGCCCAGGTGTATTGCTTGATTACATCGAAGCAACAATGCAGTATCTTCTGCGTCAACTGTTGTTAACAAAGCGATTATTCATTATAAAATGTTCTTTTGTTTTCCATTTCAGGGGGAGGTTTTCTTTTGTACGTAAATGTGTCCAGCTGACGACGGGGAGGGATGTTGCTGCTAAATTAATCAGCAAGAAACTCACCACAGTTGACAGGGTAGAGAATGAAATAGCTATTCTAAGAAGTCTGCAGCACCCCCATATTTGTGAATACTATGATGCTTTTGATACAGCCATGAATTTGATATTGATACTAGAATTGTAAGTTTGTAACAAAATTGTGTGTTTGTAGTTGTTGTCAAAGCTGATTATAAACCCGTATGGATGTCTCATAAGACTAACTTTCATTTCATATATATTGGTACTTGCTGATTAATACAGTTTAGCAATATTGCTGAAGAATCTTTCAGATTAACACAGTTTATGTGATATTGTTTTAGGAGCTTGTAGATTAATTCAGTGTGTTATTTTTTAGTTATTTACAAATTAAAATTGACATGAATTTTGAGGCATCTGATTATTTAGAGATGTTTCCAGATTAGTCCAATTTATAAGATGTTTACTAAAAATACATTGACTAGGACACTCCATGTTTTGTTTGTTTTTAAATTTCAGAATTCCAAATGGACGATTGTTTGACTACATCGTGAGTAAGCCATTATTTACCGAGAGTATAGCAGTAGGTTATCTACACCAGATGATAAGTGCAATAGAATACTTACATAATTGTAGAATATCACATCTGGACATAAAGGTAAGGATTACACATAGAATCAAATCATAGAATCAATTCTATTCTGTTTAATGGATCTCACTAGATGTAGAATATTTGCATTCTTGTGTGATTCAATATATGCCTTGAGCACACAAGCAAAACCTTATGCAGTGAAATGTGGTTGCAAAACATTGTACGCTCTTTTAGCCATGCCGAAAGAATTTTCACTTTGGTAATATAGCACATATGGTGGCCATCAAATATGTACATTTTAAGTTGGGGAGAGGTATCCTATTGAATGAATATGATAAATGATGTTACTCTCATGTGCGCTGCTATTCTTGGGTTTCCAAATTCGTATTTGAGTGCGTACCTGTTGGTACAAGTAAAGATTAAATGCAACAATCAGCACTCCCTCAAAACTGAATTTTGTCTAAAGTGGAAGATAGGTGATTATTATTTGCTTATGGATTCAAGTAATACAGTCCCTTGAGGTGAATTGTTGGAAAGGTTACCATGGTTTCTGTAAGAACTTATTAACAAATCTTATTTGTATCTACAGCCAGAAAATTTTGCAGTGGAAGCCAACAACGTGACGTGTCGAGTGAAACTGATAGACTTTGGTGATGCTATCAACATTGGTAGTAAATTGTTTGTTCATGGTCTGGTTGGTAGTCCGGAATTCGCAGCACCAGAATTAGTGAATGGCCATCCTGTGTGTCTTAATACAGATATGTGGTATGTTGGGTTTGTAACGGATATTATGATTGGTTCTTTTGGTACAGATATTATGATTGGTTTCCTTAATACAGATGTTGTAATTGGCTCTCTTGTTAAAGACATTGTGATTGGTTCTCTTTGTAGAGATATTATGTTTGGCTCTCTTATAAAAGATGCTATGATTGGTCCTTGTGTTACAATTGGCCATCTTGGTACAAATGTTATGATTGGCTTTCTTTCTGATTTACTTCATGAATTTGAAGAACCATGTCATGTGGCGTACTTTGAATACATAATTAACACACAACCTATTTCACATTTTTGTACTAATCAAATGAAGTTTGTGTTTGCTTTCAGGGGTGTTGGCGTTCTCACATATGTTATGTAAGTATAGGAAACACTAGATAATAACTTGTGGGTTTTTTTTGGGGGGGGGGGGCATTTTTATGTCATCACATGGAGAGGTGGTACCTGCACTTGTTTCCATGGAAACAGTCATGTTTTACCCTTCTTCAAGAATGATTAGGCTATTAAATTTAAATAAAACTGTTTTACACACAATTTCAGTGAGATTTTGTGTTATGAATGTTATAACCAGCAAACCTGGAATAGCAGCAGTCATAAAACAGAGCATCTTTGATGTGGGTGCAGCAGCAGGCCCACGTAGGACATGCTTATATACAAAATGTACGTGTGGCTGAAATGTCTTGAAATTTGAACTTTTCCCTATGTTCCACTATAGGTTGAGTGGTGTCTCCCCATTCCTGGATGAGAGCATCGAAGAGACATGTGTGAACATTGCAAAAATTGACTATAGTTTCCCTCAGGAGTATTTCTCAGACATCAGCCAAGCAGCCACCAACTTCATTTCTAATCTGCTGAAAGAAGACCCCGAGGAGAGATTATCGGCAAAAGCCTGTCTCGAAAACGCTTGGATACAAGCAGCCAATACAATGTCTGTGAATGTGGCGAGCTCGTGCCGACTTGATACCAGTCGACTTAATGCATTTATTGACAGAAGAAAAACACAGGTATGTGTAGATGTTTGTATGGTGGACTTACGATATTGCTGAATATTCATGTTTCGAGATTCTGAGTTTTTATGCTTTAAGAAATAAACACTGTTTGCATTAATAGCAATCCCATTATGGACAGTAACAGGATTGAAAGCATGCAGTATTAAGTCTTCTCTCAAAGGGACCTACAGATTTGAGTTATTTTTTCCCATATGGCATTCCTTATGGAGCTGCAGATGGACGCGTAACCGATCCCGGACACTATAGTGGTTCGCTCACTAACATTGAACTAAAAACTGTATAATTTTTTTTTGCAGAATGACATCCGTCCCATCAGTCCGATGAAATCATTCTATTTAATTGGAATGCAGTCCAGAGTTTAAACTGATAACTTGATATATGTGCTACCTAACCCACCAAAATCTGGTTTGAACAAGTTGTCACAGGTGCTAGCTGAATTGCAGGTTGAAGGAAGTAGTTTAAACTGGTCTAGACTACTGTCATCAAATATGGGCAAAAGTTACATGGCCAGATTTTGTAGAAGTATTGGACAGTATTATTGAATATTGATGTTGTTGTCATGGATACCACAATATTCCAGTTATGACAATTACTTTTGCACTCTGCAGAGTTTACAAGACAATGAGAATTTATTTCTTCGACAGAGAACAATTGATAATTAAGATGTGAGATTTTCTGGTGATATCATCCATCATTTTTTTTTTCTGAAATGAACAATTATCTCTTATTTTGCTGCCAAATCATTGATAAACTTTACATTTGAGGGTAACTTTTCTAGGTTTTCTAATTCATTATTGTGCTCTAATTGCTTGGCAATAACTTTAGTGGACATAACTGCTTTCTCTGTGAGGCACTTTTCACCACATTGTGTCCACTAATCAAATTTGTCTTTATTGATGTATGCGTCTTTTTCATCATAGCATTCTGATCATGTCTCCTAACTTTTCAGACAACTATGATTTTACTTTCAATCAATTTTAGACTGATATGATGAAATTAGTAAAATTGATTTGCCCGAAAATACATGGCTAAACATTTCTTTAGAATTCTGAAGAAATCACCAATTTATTGTTGGGATATTTTGATTTTGATAGTTGGCATATAGAAACAAAATTTTGGATGTTTCTTTTAAAATGAACTTCTGAATAAAATGTATTTATAAGATTGATCACAGCTTTGTGGTGATTTAGGAAAATTCCAGATTTTTTTTTAAATAACATTTACAGTGTAAAATTACTGAAGAAAATGAACACCAAGTTAGTGAATAATTTAAATTTTTTTGTAATTTCATTTCACTATTGAAAAAGTCAGCTTGGTCATCGTAAGTTTTTTTTTGATCCTGCCATTAGTTTTTACATTTTCCCCAAACCTAATTAATAATAGTTTTTCCAAAAACGCAATATTTCTGAAGCACTTAATTTTACCATTGAGGGCGCTTTTTAAAGTGAACATTTGTCACCTGTGAGGGCGCTTGTCAATATCACCTGCCATATTCGTTTGAATTCCACTAAAATTTTATATTCATATATTTATGCTGTCTAAACATAGTAGACTCACATGGAATGCATTTGCATTGGCTGTAAATATTTCTTTTGTTTTATTTTTATTGGTGCTAGTGATATTTTTAGTTTGAACAAATTGTAACATGACTTTTTTTTTCTGTGAATTATTTTAATGTGTATACGATGAAATGTCATTATTTTAATTAAAGATTTTTACAAAATTTACTCTTGTTTGATCACATTTACATCAGGTAAGGCAATGAGATTGGAGACTGAGCAATCTTTTATTAAGGTTGATTGAAAATTTCATCAGATACTTAAAGCAGGGGAGTTGTCACCTGCGCATGCGTCAGATGGCCATAGCTTGTCATTGTTTACAAACAAGTGTATACCCATGAGCCTTTGCGTTTTTAGCATGTGTTGTTGTCGCTTCGGACTCAATTCTCGTGTGTGCGCAGGTGACAACCCGCCCGCTTTAACTACATTGTAAGTAAATTTGCCAAGTGGGCTCACTAGCCATTAAGGGAATTTTCAGGTCTTACAGTGCCCTTTACTATAAGAATTTATCTGTTCCAGTAAACAATAGACATCAATGAGGCTAATATTTTACATTATTTAAACTGATACCTCATTACTTAGTGGTTTGTCGAGCAGGTCCAATATAAGACACCCCCCCCCCCCCGAAGCCCAGCTAATAGCAAGACAGACAAGTGAATTTATTTCTAGGCACTCGCTCTTTGCATTGGTAGGCATGGAATGTACTTCTTAGTTCAGGCATCGTACAAAATAACGAATTGATCAATTTGGGTAATTGGTCTGTTCAGAGTTGTATCCGGGACACTCATTGACAGATCTCGTTTAAACTTTACACAAAGACAATGCGACACGTCCTACATGTGCGAGTAACTATTTATGATAATCAAACAAAACTGTTTCTTGGAGAAGACAGTTAATTCAGGTTTGGTTACAGGTGTACATCAATATTTTGGCGAAGATGTGTATTTTCCTGAATAATGTCGAAAAAAACGAAAGTGTGAATTTCATATACGTGTATGCATATTCTGACACTTTGATGAAATGGGGTGTGCTGTGACAAGATTTAGCAAACATTTGGAAATTGTACATTAGTGTGGATCAATACATCTTCGCTGTAGATGGCGTCTATTTCAACACTGGCTTCAACGCCATTTATGGACACAATCGTCAACGTAAAAGGTGCAGTAATGTTGTTGTTATTTACAAAATAATTGGTGTTCATTTTCAACAATGGCTGACAAATAGTCCCGACTATGACGCACATGTCAGCGACTGGATACCGATGATCTCGAACTTGAATGCCCCAACCATATTCGTCGCTTCCGGTCATGAACTACAAAACACAAAACATATTTCGCTTTAAAATAGTGAATCTCTGTATTATTGATAAAAAACTACACATTTACATACAAATGTATGGTTGCATTGATCCAAATAGTCTATTGTATTTCAAATCTCGGTCCTGACAATATTCCGTCTATATAACAACACAACCAATGAGTCAAATATAGGACATATTGTGGTTGAACCGAAGTTTTAACAGTTTTGAACAAACAAGACTATCTCACTGTACATAACGTATAAGCACCTCTCCCGATTTAGATAAATTCCATTGCAGTTGAGATGTTCAATACACTCCCAAAATGCAAGTCTCGTTATTGTACTTTCACATTTTTGTCCTTCATATGGAAATACTGACATAAACACACCTTAAACTTCATACCCTCCGAGACGTCACATGGTACAACCTCCCACACAACTGGTATGTCAATGGGCAAAATTGATAATACGTTGAAGGCAGCAGTGTTAAGCATTAGGTCCTGGGTGTCACAGTCGCCACAATTCTCCACAACGAGTACAGTAACTGTGCCAACCACACCGGACACTACCAAACATTCACCACATTCCTGTTTGGGGTAATGAATAATAAGTATAGGGAAGAAATGTGTTAACTCCATGTTAGAATTTGCAAAGAATTATGGGATAGAAAACTGTAGAGGGCGTTTGAGGGTTAGGGACTCGCATTTTTGCCATAGACCCCTTATGTTATAAAATCAGCTGTTTACCTCTTCTGTTTTCAAGCAACGCATTTTTTTTTTCGAAAAAACATACCGTAGTTCGGAGAGCGCAAACAGACAGCTCACTCCTCTGAAAACACGTGACCGTCTTATTCATATTCATATGTACCGTAGTTCATATATGACGTCACTGAGCATTATATCATGTGATTAATTATTCAAAAAGTCGTTCGATTTCGGCCAAACACGTAAGTAAAAAAGAAACTGGAATGAAGGACAGGTAGATTACTTGTTGGGGTATTCAACAGAGGGTTTGCCCACCCAGGTAAACTTTCGTGTGTTTCACAATAAATCACTGAAAAATCACAGCAGTTGGGGTTAGATCGTCGTTATCGTTTGTTTCACGCTAAATCTATTTTTACGTCAGTTCTATATTTTATTAAGATCTTGTGCGTAATCGTGACATGTTTGGGAGTCATACAATCTCGGGTGAACTCGCTATACACAAAAAACTCACATAATAATTAAAACTATGGGAGCTGCCAATCCCTGCCACATAATCAGACGAGTATGGTGCCATTGCGCATGCGTTAGTGATGTTCGATTGGCTCATGTCTGCCATCTTCGCCATGCCCATTTTCACGCCGCCAAATACACAAGTCCCGATTGTGGGAACTGCAACAAAATAAATAAAGACATGTGACAGTTTTCTACCAAAAATGTCTGACAATATTTGCTCATTCAATACTACGAAAGTTTAAAGCGCGGTAGTCGTGGCCCTGCGCATGTGCGAGATATATGGGTCTCATATAAACAAAGATGGCGACTTTGACTGTTGCGCAGATCACGGTTCTTTTTTAGTAACCGTGCGCAGATCAACGAGTACGAACTGAGACGTTTCCAAGCTTAAATTAGGCAATTTTCATGTGATTGGAAGGTATCGAAGGAGTCACCGTCGGTAATCAGTGCAAGTCGCGCCCAGGTCAAACCTAATACTTGTGATTTCCATTTGAAGAACGCATTGGATTGTGGGAAAATCAATGTTTATCAACACAAATGTCGCACATGCGCAGCGCAACCGCGCTTTAGATATCTATTTCCAACTCTGCAGACTGAGAAATGAAGACGTGACACTGAGGACGTTATTTGACACTAACCTGTAAATATTTCTGAACTCAAATCCTGGGTAACACTGATATAATCTGCTGAAGCCGCAATGGGTGTTGTTTGTTCATCTATTGAGACACAAATAAGTTAACAGCTTTCACTGTAGATATTCAAGTTCTAATACATTAATGAACAGAATCATTGCCAAGTCAGCTAGCCACACACATGGAGCTCCATCATAATAGAGAAAATAGCAGAATACCAAATGAAGCAGAGTGTCATGGGTAACGTCAAAATGACGAGTGGCTAAGTAATTTACCTTCCATCGAACATTCAACATAAACTTTTTACAATTTATAACACACATAACGCAAAGTACATACCTTTATTTACAATTCTGATTTCAATGCGAAATGGGCATTTTCAAATTCGAGCTTAACTCGCTGCCCATCATAATGGACAGACATAGGGAGAGAGAACAACGAATTTTATATTTTACTATATTTTTGAGTAACTTGCTGTTTTATATGACGTTTTCGTCTGTTACATATCCAAGAACATATTACCTTGCCCGCACATGTATAAAATGTTGTGTTCTGTGGTGAAAAGTCAGTTGAAGAGATCTTTTTAGAGGTTGTTCACTGATCTAAGGTTTAGTAGTGAATACCTTGTTTGTTTGCTCAGGTATTATAATGCTGTACACATTGTCTTTTATCTGTATGGACCGCATGATATTTGTCACTTACCTGTAGTTCTGTCTGATAAATATGTATCTTCTGTTTGGGTAATACTGACATCATCTGTTGTTGTCGGTAAAGGTGTTGTAATTTCATCTGTTGAAACACAGTGGAGTTAACAACATTTCCCAGTAGAGTTTTGAAATTCTGACACATTGATGGCAAGTGGTGGTCACATAGACATCAGAAACGTTGCTTGGTTCAGCACAGAATTTTAATCGTTTTATCAAAACTGACAACAAGTAGCCTGTCAGCTGAGATAGCTCCGTTGAAATCAATGCACATTTCAATTAAAGAACTGAAGATATCATTAGAAAATGAACAATATGTATAGTATTAAAGCAATCGGACTTGCTGTTCAACAAGAATTCGAAGATATCACTTTTCGCCAAAAAATGACAAAAATATTCATCAAAATTAGATATAAATTGAAGATATCATCACAAAATGAACAAATCTGAGAGAGGTCCACATGTAGTAACTATATATGTAATATCAAAGCAATTGGAATAGCGGATTTTAACATGAAGTCGAAAATATCGCTTTTTACCAAAAATATTCATCAAAATTAGAGAATTGAAGATATCATGACAAAATGAACAAATCTGACAGAGAACTACCCCAAGAATCTATGTTGCAAATATGAAAGCATTTGGTTTAACGGGTTTGAAGAAGAAGAAGACAAAAATGTGAAAAATTAACGACAGACTTCATACTACAGACTCTGGACAACGACGGACAATCAGTAATATGAAAAGCTCTGCGTCGTCAACTTTGTCGACAGCGGAGCTAAAAACATGTTTAAATATGTGTCTAAACTACAGACCGCATGATATTTGTCACTGACCCGTTGTTCTGTCTGATAAATATGTATCTTCTGTTTGGGTAATACTGACATCATCTGTTGTTGTCGGTAAAGGTGTTGTAATTTCATCTGTTGAAACACAGTGGAGTTTTGAAATTCTGACCCAATGATGGAAAGTGGTGGTCACATTGACATCAGAAACGTTGCTTGGCTCAGCACAGAATTTCAGTCGTTTTATCAGAACTTACAACAAGCAGCCTCTCGGCTGAGATAGCTCCGCTGTTAGCAATGCATATTTCAATTAAAGAACTGAAGATATCATTAGAAAATGAACAGTATGCATAGTATCAAAGCAATCGGACTTACTGTTCAAAAAGAATTCGAAAATATCACATGGACTTTTTACCAAAAAACGACAAAAATATTCATTAGAATTAGAGAATTGAAGATATCATCACGAAATAAATAAATCCGAGAGAAAACTACTCCAAGTTGCAAATATGAAAGCATTTGGTTTAACGGTTTTGAAGGAGAAGAAGACAAAAACGTAAACAAAAGTTGACGACAGACTTCATACTACAGACTAAAGACACCGGACAACGACGGACAATCAGTAATATGAAGAGTTCCGGGTCGTCAACTTTGTCGACAGCGGAGCTAAGAACATGTGTCCAAACTACAGACCGCATGACTTTTGACACTGACGTGTAGTTCTGTCTGATAAATATGTAACTTCTGTTTGGGTGACACTGACATCATCTGCTGTTGTCGGTAAAAGTGTTGTCTTTTCATCTGTTGAAACATAGAAAAGTTAACAACTTTTCACAGTGGAGATTCGAATTTCTACGACGATGGCCAGAGGTCATGTGAGCACGAGAATATTTGCACATGATCTAAAGAGCTAAGCTGACTAACTCAGCAAGGATCCTTAATCGTTTTATCGGGAACGTCAACAACCGACCTGACAGTCGAAATAGTCCCGCTGTGCATGTTCTACAAGAGGATGAGTGGTAAAATAATGCATTCCCATTAGACAAATCGCACTATAATGTAGTTAGGTTGACATGTACTTATTGACCATAGACAAACTACATCAAACAACTTGTTCACAAAATTATGTACACATCAAAGGATGAAATCAATCGAGTTGGTAGTTTTCAAGAAGAAGATGAAAATATAATTGTATACCAAAAATATTTGTGAAAATGGAGAATCAATGATATCGTCACAAAAACGAACACATCTGAGTCTACTTAACATATTAAAGCAATTGAGCTGGCAGTTCCCAAGAAGAGGTCGAAAACATGTTTTTTTTTTACCAGAAATTACAAAAACTTTCACTAAAAATATCTTCACCAAATGAACAAATCTGACAAAAGTCCACCCAAGGTACATACCAAATATCAAAGTATTTAAGCTAACAGTTTTTAAGGAGAAGTTATAAATTAACCTTTTTACCAAAAATTAAATAACGAAATGAACAAATCTGACAAAGGTCCACCGAAGGTATCTAGACACCAAGTATAAAAGTAATGGCTGGTAGTTTTCAACAAGAAGTTGAAAAACAGCATTGTTTACTGACAATGACAAAAATATTAAAAATAATGAATTGAAGATATCATCATGATATAAGTCCACTTCATATAACATATCAAATCAAAAAAGCCAAAAATGTAACTACTGACATACGACGACAGAAAATCTAGTATGTCATATTCTATGGAAGTGGAATTAAAAAAAAAACTGTTTAAGTATTTATCTACTTAAGTCAACTTGATTTGTAGTCATGGCCATGCAAACAATATTACACCCGAATTATACAGCATACATTTATCCCTACCTGCCATACTCGGGTGACACACTGAATTCATTTCCATTTTGTTGCAGTGTCTGATATATGAAAATTGAGTCTGAAAAATATAATAAAATAAGTGTGCATCAGAAAAGAAAGTGCAGCCATTAACGCATTACGTGTTTTGGAATACAGGTAATAGCATTTAATGTGATGACAGATCACAACATTAATTGATACAAATGACGTCGTTTCAGTTACTATAGCAACGGTGATTTATCGCGACTTCTGTATAACCGAAGAAGACAGTCAATTCAAATATTTGACAGTTAAAATAGAGGAATTGGTTACCTATGACCGATGTTTCAAATCTGTGTCATGATTTATATTTTCATGTCTTTAGGTGAGGCCGCTTTTAGCGGTCATGGCGACTTTCAATGGTGACCCCTGGATAATTCGCATCTGCTTACAATTTGTCATGATCACGTTCATTTGCATGTTAGTGGGATTAGTAAAGAGACAACTGGCGAATATAATTGTTGAATACGAAATGTTGGTTAAAACAACGTGGCGCCTATAACTATGAGAGTTATGTCCCGACATCGGGGAGTATACATTATTGGAGTATAATCACCAAATTTAGGATTGTTGAAGTAAAGAACATCATCAATATTTCACAATGAGAAAAAGTTTGCTACTTTGTGACTTTCGTTTTTTTTACTCTATGGGCATTCGGCTTCATACTAATAAAGAAAGAAATCGGCAAGATGATAACCATCACATTATTTCTAAAGCCCCTTCGTAATAGTAAAAAAATATATGTTAACATATTCGAAAAATCTTTCCTTGAACATTTGGACGATCCAGCAATAAATAGTATGGTGCTTTATAGAGTTTGGGTATCAAATATAAATCATTATTTTTTTTCTTTGTTCGAAGGGATTCTGATATGTGTCATGAATGTCTTGTGATTAGCGAGAATGTCAACCTTCGATAATGGATATTTTATGGTCAGCATTTACTTCCTCATTTTTACCTTGCCCGTACCATCAAAGATGGAAGGGAAAGGTATATTAAGGGAAAGATTTTGTCCGGCGTTGTCGTCGTCGTCGTCGTCGTCGTTGTCATCGTCGTTAATAATTGTTATTGTGTGCATGATAACTTTACTAATTCTATTCCAAATTTCATCAAACTTGGTCACCTTGTTCATCAGTATAAAGTCTTCCCTGAGTTTGAACAACAGATGTCCTGTATGAAAATATCATGCAAAAATTGAGAAAAACTGATAAAATATTTCGACTGTTTCTACTTGACTGATCACTGGTGATACACATCAAAGGTCACTGATCTCAGTGGAAATATGCATTGTTGTATGTGTTCAATGAAGCAAATGATTTATCTTGTAATAATATCCTTGGTAATGTATCTCAGAATCCCTTACTGGGTTTCAAAACCAACTCATGGAGAG